TGAGAGAAAAGCACCAGCCACAAAGATTCTGGTTTGGTAGGTCTGGAGTGGTCCAGGAATTCAGATTTGGGAATCCCTATAACCAGGACCTTCTGGGACCTCTCCTCTGACCCCACTGCATTAACCCTCTCCCCCAGAGGCCATACACTGCACAAGAGACAGAACTCTAGGGGGCAACATTTACCAGAGGATAAGATGACTGTTGCCCCTAGAGTTGTGTTAGAGCAGAACCCCTAGTGTCCTCCACCCTCCTTCAAGAAACTGATCCATGACTATCCCCTTCCTAGGTGAACCCCCAGGACTCCTTTCCACGATTTCCATCTGAGACACTCCTCTTTCTCAGGATATTTCCAGAAGGTCCTCTTCCTGAAAGTTGCTGCTATAGGTGACCAAAATCTGGCTAATACCAGTGGCTTCTGTGCAGCTCTGCTTCAAAGGATTCTGAGCCTTTACAAGAGCTGGTTGCAAACCAGCCATGTGGCCTTGGGAATGTGTCATTCTCTCTCTGGGCTTGAGTTCCCCTCCGTGGTGAAATGAGAAGTGGTCTAGGTGGTTTCCACACCCCCTGGCTCTGACAGCTGGGCTTCAGAATGGTTGGCGTTGGAATATGGGGCACTGGGCTTGTGACCTCCAGCCCCAGTGACCTTAGCCCATCAGGGAATGTTGGAGTGGGGGATTCTTCACTTTCCAGAGCCTCTCAAGGCCCCAGGAAGGAGGATCTGGGATTTGATGCCCCAACCCCAGAAGAGGTGGAGGCCTCCTATTCCACCAGAGCAGGGTTTGTCACATGACCTAAGGATTCCAGGGCTTTGGTTTAGCTTCAAGCTTTGGTCCCTTCTCCATCCCCCACCAGTCAGAAACTGGCTTCTTCACCGGTGAGCATAACCACACACAATGCCCAAGTGCAGAGAAAAGCTTACTTCAGGGCTTTAGGGAAAGGAAGGGAAACAAACTGCACCAAACCTTTACTAACCAGAACACCCAAGGGATAGTAATATTCTCCCTTTAACTGGGAGCTGTTGAGCAGGCAGTTGGATAAAAAATACTCTCTGCTTAGTTCTTTGCAGCAAGTGTCAACTCCCATCCTGGTAAGTCCCAAGCTGAAGTTTCTTTTGTAGAACTTCAGAGCCTGGGCCTTGGCATGTGTGACTGGGTGTTTTCCCCTATTGCTGCAAACCATGGTAGAGGTTAGTAGCAGCTTCAGCCATGTAGGCTGCCACTATAGGTAGTGAGCATCCAGTTCCTGGAGGTGTGCAAGCAGAACTGGAGACACCATTGACCAAGGATATACAATCAGAGGGAATTCCTAGGTGGAAGAATGAAATCCTCACTATACAAAGTGTGTGGTTGGTGGGCCAGCAGCAACAACATCACCTGGGAGCTTGTTAGAAATGCAGAATCTCAGGCCCAGACCTATTGACTAAGAATCTGCTTTTAACAAGTTCCCTCAGAGTATTTATAGGCACATTAAAGTTTTTGAATCATGTAACTAAATGATTCCAGGATCCCTAAAATCTCAGAATCTTTAAGATTTCATAAAAACCAGGCCAGAAACTAGCCCTGAGTCTTGTTCTGTTTGGCGTATGGGGTGATTTTGTTTTTGTGTTGAGCTAACATTTAAAAATCAAGAGATACCACATTTTAAAAATGTATACCAAATTTCCCTTTCTCTGAAGTCAAAACCACCTCACAGGGGCAACTGCTGACTTTCTGCTGGACCCAAAGAGTGACTGTCCCCTCTTTCCAGGGCTTCACTCTTCATTTCTCACACTCCCCACCACTTCCTGTGGACTCCAAAACACCAAGATTTTCTAAACATTACTTATGTAGCTGTCTAGCACCTGTAGGCATTTGAGCTCAGGACTCCTGGAGTAGCTAATGTTAGGAGTGCGTGGGCTCCTGGAAGTTGCTTTACCTGACTTGTAAAATCCTTGAAATCCACAAGCATAGTAGTCTTTCCTTCCTTCCTAAAGGTAGAGAAAGAATGTATGAGAAATCTAAAATTCAGCACTTGTAGGTTCTGATTACTTTAAGGTGGTGCTTCTACAATGAGTCATTTAGTACAACTAAAAAAACATTTTTTAATCGAGTTTAGAGATGATTAATTAAAGATTTTTTAAAACCCTGATTCACACACAAAATATTTTTAAATTATGTACATGTTTAAACATCTCTTTTCAGATTTTCTCTGTACTTAGGTCCCAGGGATTGAGGGTAGACTCAGCATTGCTGGTGCCAGACCTGACAGAGTGGATGTAGCTCTTATTCTTCTCCTCTTCCCTCTCTCCACACCTCACCCCTTACCTCTCCTTCCCTCCTTCTTGCCTGTGAGGGGCCTGGGGTAGTTAATGGCCAAATGATTCAGGGGAGTCTCAGGGAAGAGTCAACTGGGGCTGGGTACGTGGGGATTAGTGTGGCAGGCTGGGGCAGGGCACCACCCAGAGGAGGAGGAGCTGGAGTCCAATCCCAGTTTGGGGTAGAGGTAGAGCAGGTCTCCTGCCAACCTCGACTCAGCCTTGTTACCAGGCCTCATTTCTCAAAGGAACAGATGTGATGGGGGTAGAAGCCTGGTAGAGAGGAGTCCTGTCCTCTTCCCTAGGTAGGACAACTCAGGGACCACCCACCTCAGAGCTCATTGAACTAGTGGGAGAAAAGAAGGGGAAAAATTAAGCCTCAGTCTCCTCACTGTCCCTCAGGCTCCTTCTTTCTCTGTCCGTATCTCTCCCTCTCTCACCTTCCCTGGCTCTCTGCCACTAGTCTCCTCTTTCTCTGTCCCCAGTATCCTCTCCCAGCCTGGCAGTTTCTCCCAGCCTTTTCTACAGTTTGTCCATTTCTGCAGAACCATTTTTCCTGGGCACAATCAATATCCTAGAGCCCTGCTACCCTCTGACTGGAGTCTTCTCCACCTACTCCTCCCTTGTTGTTCCTGGGACCCAGGCAACTCCTAGCCCAGAGAGCACCTGGCTTGGTCATTAGGCACGCCCCACCTTCACTACCTCTTACACTACCTCTGTCAGCTGGCCTGTGCCAGAAGCCCACACTTGGGGCTGTCCCAAGGCTCTGTAGCTGGGACAGTGATGGCCAAAGCAGTCACCTCTCACAGCTGCTGCTTCAAT